GCGGCGCGTGGCGGGGACCATGGCCTCCAGTCCCTCCAGAGTCAGGGCCCAGCCCGGCCTGGGTGGCTCTGTCGCCGGCACCCCCTTGGCGCTCTTCTTATTGGACGCCGCGCTCGGTGTTCCCTTCCCGGGTCGCTCCCGCGGACCCTGGCACCCGGCCTCCCTTGCCGGCGGTGGCATTCTTCCACCCTGCTGCGGGAAGAGTTGGTGGGTGGCGGGTGGATGCCTGAGCCATCCCCAGGCCTGCCTGCCGCGGCCCGCTGTGCACTCCAGCACTGGCTCCATGGGCCAGCCTTTCCGCAGTCGGCCTGGGGCCCCGCACCTTTGCCCAAGTGGCTTCTTCCCTTAGCACACAGTGTTTGCTGCTTAACCTCTCCTGTCGTCCTGCCATGGATTGACTCAGTTTTAGGAACCGCCTTTCCTACCCTACTGGTGGTTCTGTTTGAACTGAGGAGGTGCTGAGACCTCCCACCCTCCCAGGTTAGTCTCAGGCCCTACCCAGGCCTGCCGGCCACATGGGAGACCTCTGAGTGAGGTCTGGTGGGACTTCATTATGCCACACGTCAGTCGGCGTCCCACCACCCTACTGGAACCCCAGCACCTGATTTGGTCTGTCCTGCCTTAGTGTCAGGCTATTAGGAGTGGAGGAACTTCAGTATGTCCTGGACAGAGGACCCAGGCTCTCTGGACGCTGTGTGTGCACATATCTGGGCCTCAGTGTGCCGGTGTCAGTGGGAGTCTTTGTTGCTGTGTGTGTGTGTGTGTGTGTGTGTGTGTGTGTGTGTGTGTGTATGTGTGTGTATGTGTGGGGAGGCTCAGAGCTCCGTGGACAGCTGCCTCCATGCAGAGGAGTTCCCATCCTCCTGGCTGTCCCCTCCTAGGCATAGTGGGAGGAGCAGATCCCAGGGCAGGTGACTGTAGAAAGGACCCATGGTGGGGTGGAGGAAAGGAGCTGGAGGGGACAGGCCAGGAGGATAGGGACTCCCTTCCCCATCCTACAGCGTCTAACCTTCCCTTTGTCAAGTTCAGGTTCCCTGCGGGCCAGAGGCAGAGTCATGGTCAGGGGTCGGCTGCCACCCCTTCCCCCTCTTTAGCTTCAACAGTCGAGGGCCCTGCCCCCACCCCTCAGTCTCCACACCTGTGCTTTCTGCCTTCCCAGTTGGGCCAGTAACCTCCGCTTCAGCCTAGACTCTCTGGGGTTTGTTGATGCGGTTGCCGGGCAACCGAGAGTCCCACCTCTTCTCCCCCCGCCCCCCGGCAGGGGCGGGGCGACCTCCCATCATAAGGGCCCAGCCCTCCCCAGCTGTTCATAATGGTGACACTGGCCTTTTCAGCCTGGGTGCACATCCTTTCCAGGCAGCCAGAGACGTGCCATTCTGGGGGCTGTGGGCTCAGATTCCTGATATGAGATGTGTTTGGGGCTAGCTTTTGGAGTGGGACACTCAGCTGTGAGAACTTTGTGGCTGAGGTCCCTTGCCCTCAGCATGCCCAGCAGCCTATGACTCCAGTCACTAGAGCGGGTTGTGGAGTGGTAGGTGGTGGCGGCGCTACGTGGGGAGCATGGCTGCCAGCCACTCCAGAGTCAGGACCCAGAAGGGTGTATGTAACTGGGACAGAGCCTGAGACCCCCTCACCTTTTCTAGAACAAGTTTGGGATCTCAGGGGTCCAGGTGTCCTCCATGACCTGACCTGGGTTTTGCCAAACCTTCAGTCTGTTGATCTTGGGTCCTAGGTCCTAGATGCCAGAAATCGATTTGTTATTCATCAATTTCATAATATATTATTTTACAACTATTTCACATTTCAGTTAATTAATTAATTCTATAATTTATTTGGAAATTAATCAGTATACTCTATAATTCATTAATTCCATGGTTAGACAAAAATTAGACCATCAAGTCTGTGATGTGTTCACGTATCTGTTATTTCCACAGTGTGCTCACATGCTCCCCTGTGTTCACAGACGAGCCTGCTGGGGCCCAAAGTGGTGCCTTTCTGGGCATTTGGAGTCTGTGCACGGAGAGTGGGGCCTGTTGTGGCAGAGGGATGGGGTCACAGCTGAGGTTCTGGCCTTTCTGCAGGAGGTTGTTGGCTGTTCCCACTGTTTTTGGAAGCCTTCCCTGGCCTCTCAGTAGGCGGGTAACTATGACCTTTGGCCTTGTGTCCCAGAGCCTACACCCCCATCCCCACAGCTGTGTGGATGACTGTCCATCCTCCCAACCTCCAAGCTCTTGCACAAACTTTTCCCCAGCTTTCCCCTTCTGCATGTGCTTTTGTGGCATGGGGGCTTCTACTTGTTGACGGTCCTGGGTTCTGGAAGGAGCAATGAGGCTTGGAGATGCTCACCCAGCAGGCCGCCTCTTCCAAGCAATGTTCTGTGCTCCCACAGGATGAGTCCTTTGAGACAGAGACCTGGGCCCTCCTCGTGGCTTCCCAGGGGCCAGACCAGGGGGACACATGGGCAGGGTGCTTGCTGGTTAGGAAGGGGCTACACAGGAAGTAGGGGGATTTTCTGTTCTTTTCCAGAAAGAGACTTGTTACCTTTCCTCTGTTTTTGTAGGATTGGAAAACCTCTTCTCCCTAGTTCCCAGCAAGGTGCTCCCAGGGTCTACCCAGCTCACATTCCAACCACTGCTGTTTCCCCACACCTGCAGTTCTGCTGAGAGGGGGCTGCTCCCTGTGAGCCTGGGGCCCAGCAATTGTGAGGGACCCATCAGGCTGGGGTCTCCTATATGTTTCTGACCCTAGGACTCTTGTGTTTTTCAAAGGCTACCAGAAATCCTGAGATCTAAAAGCATGTTTATTGGTATCAAACCCTGAAAAGAAAACTTCAAAATCAAATCAGTAAGCTTTATTAAATGACTACAAAAATGGACACTGTATTGAAAGGCTGCAGCTCAATTATTTGGACATTGTATATACATTTTATGCAGTTAAAATCATAAGGCCAAAGTAGTTTGTTTTGATGAAACACGGAATTGTTAGAATTCTTTCACTTTTTTTTTTTTTGAGTTGGAGTCTCACTCCATCGACCAGGCTGGAGTGCAGTGGTACACTCACAGCCACCCCAGTGTCGATGTGCTGGACTCTGGCAATCCTTCCGTCTCAGCCTTCCAAGTAGCCAGAACTACAGGCATGAGCTACCTTGCCTGGCTAATTTTTCAATTTATTGTCGAGACGAGGCTGGTCTGGTCTAGAACCCACGGGCTCAGGCAATCCACTCACCTCAGCCTTCCAAAGTGCTGAGATTATAGGCTGAGCCACTGAGCCCTGCCTCTTTCACTTTTTTAACAGCACAGTGGCACAGTGTGGCCGGTGATGGGGTTCTCCAAGGTGCAGCTGCTCTGTGTAGGCTGCCAGACCCTCTTCTTTGATTCCTGTACCCATCCCAGGGTGACAAAGCATGTGAGAGAGGAGGGTAAGCAGACGGTGCACCCATCCGGAGGGGTTGTCTATAGGCTCTGAGTTGCTGGGTGAGTGTGGGGCATATTTGCCCAGTAGGGGTGTGGTTCTTACTCCAGGATCCAGGCCTGCCCTGCTACCCAGGGCTCCATGTGCAACCCCTGTCAGGCTTGAACTATCATTTGTAGACATGTGTTCTGTGTTGTCATTCACGGAATCTGTACCTCTTGGGCTGTCCCTGGTGTCCCTGCCATTTTTTTTGCTGGCCTATGACATGAGTGTTTGAGGTTGTTTTGCTCTTTCATTTGACACATGTTCCCTGCTGTTCCTTGTGTGACCTGTGTTCTTTGTTGAGCCTTGGCTCTACCTTTGCCCCTCTGGTGGGCCTCCCTGCCTCCTTGCCAGGTTGGTGGGGGCGGGACTCAGTCAGGGGTCAAGAGAAAGCTGGTCAATTTTCTGTATCACCAGCCCCATTTGTGAAAGCACTTCAGGGTCCCAGCTGGACCCCTACCCACCCCAGGAAGCGCAGCCAACATCCCACCCCAGCCACTCCCCAGCCAGGTGACCAAGCCTGAGACTTCCTGAGTCTTGCCTGAGTACTTCACCTGAGACTGCACCTGTAAGGAGCCAGACTTTGCCTCTAACTGGTCTCCCTGCTGGATCCCTCAGGCACACTTTCAGGGGATATCTGCTGAGACCAGAGCTCACAGGCCCAGCCTGGCAGCACGGGCAGCAGCATCACTGAGTCACCGCCAAGGTTGCAGGCTACTATGTGGGGAGGGAGGATAGGAGAGGCTTCTTGGTGGAGGCAGGACTGAAACTGGCTGGGGTGGGGCAGGGTCTGTGCAGGGGGCAGGACTTGTGGGGAGGTGGAGGTGTGGGGGATGTGGGGCTGGGGGAGTGAAGGACCTGCCTGGGGGGTGGGATCTTCGAACATGTGTCAGAGCAGGATGACTCAGAACACAGTATGAGTGAGGGAACACACAATTGTGAGTGTGTCTGGGGTAGGAGTACTAAGGCCTGGTCCTGGACCCTGAAGTGCTCCCACAAAGGGGGTTGAGGTCTCTCTTGACTCCTGAAAGGCAGGCAGGGCAGAATTGGGGGCAGCCTGGAGTGTGGTACTGGGTGGTTGTTTATTGCCTGGGTGAGAGACTGGGTTAAAAGAAGTGATAGGGAGCTAGATAACTGCCTGACCTCTTCCCTCTTCTTTCTCCCTGTTCTCCTCTTCTCCCTGGCTTTCCTCCCCTTCCCCTCTTCTTCTCCCCTCCTTCTCCACCCCTCCTGCTCTTGATCTCCCCACACCTCCTTCCCCACTTCTTTCTCCTTCCTCCTCTCCCCATACCAGCCCCTCACCTTTCCCCCCTGGCTGTAGGGAGGAGGATGGGTGGAGTGACCCTGGTGGCAGACATGTGGAGGGGGAGGGGCCTGGAACAGCAGGGATGGCATGCCCCTGCCTCCCACCCTGCCCTGCCCTCTGACTTAGCTCCTGGACTGGGGTCATTAGGAGGTCTCCTTTGGCTCTCTCCTCCCGCAGGGTCTCTGCTCTGCCCACCCTCAGTGCCTACAGTGTCCTCTTCCCCAGTCAGGGTGCTGGGCAGCGAGGCAGCTGAAGGCCATTAGGAAATGGGGTTCTATAGGTGCATGGGCAGGCGGTCTCAGGTGACTGGGGCAGGAGGGTCTGGGGTTTCCTGCTCAGACCTTGATGAGCCCAACTTGGGGAGTTGTGCAGGAGTCTGGGTTCCTGCCTCCCCTGGGCTCCTGAAGTCAGCAGGCTCAGGCCTTAAGCTTTGCCAGGAGAGTGTATTTGTGCATGTGTGTGTTCCCTGGGTGTCCGAGGACCTTGGTCTATGTTGGCCTATTCCCTAAGGTATCCACATACTCTACATGTGACTGCGTGCATTGTGGCAGGGGTTCTCATGTGTGTGGCCCATGTGTTTGTGCATTCTTGTGAGTGTGCATTTCCAAGCATGTACTCATGTCTCTGTGTATTCACCCATGTGCTTGTTGGGCATCTCTGTATGTGTTTGCAGGAATATGTGTCCCCATATGTCCCTGAGTGTCTCTGTGGACGTGCCCCGTGTCCTTACACGTGTCCCAGCATCTTGGTTGCGGTGAAGATGCAGGGACAGGTCCTGGTGGACAGCTTGGAGTGCTAAGTCCTGGGGCGTCTGCCTGCTCTGTCCTCCTGATTTGCCAGGTATCCTAGCGACGCTGCTTCCAGTTGCCTAGCAACCAGGTCCCCATCCTTGGAGAAAGTGCTGGAGCAGGTCTAGGCTGTGTGGAGAGAGGTCTGGCTCTCCAAAGCCCATGCAGGAAGAAATATCCCATGACCGAGTAAGGGCTGGCAACTCAGTTGAGGGGTCATACCTGTGACCTTTCATTTCAGGGACTGGGCATGTGACCCTGTGCTGTTCAGCTTTGTGGATGCCAGGGTCCTGTCTGTGGGGGTGGTGTTGCTCTGGGACCCAGCTGTGGCAGAGGTGACCTTGGTGTGTCTCCAAGTGACAGATAAACCTAGATTTCAACCTTGTCTCTGACTCTCTGACAGGGGCTTCCCACCTCTGAGGCTAGTACTCTTAGGCAATGCCGGGTGTGATGGGATTAACGAGCGCCAGGAGCACACAGTAGGCAGGGCCAGTGCTGAGTCCTGAATCCAGGTACCACCTGCCTGTTTACAGTGAGGCTCTGACCTGTGGAGGACTGGTCAGGTGGGGCATTGCTGTGCACCTGCCCCACCACACCCGGGAGCCAGTGGGGGCGCTCTTTTGGGCACTGAATGCCAGCTAGGCTGGTCTGGGCCAGGCTGTCCCAGGCTGTGTCTGCGTGAAATGAGGGTCCCCATGTTGGTGTGTCTGAGTCTGTGAACATGTCTCTGTGTGTGTCTCCCTGAGTCTGTGTCCCGTGTCTGAGTCTGTGTTTCCGTGTGTGTGTGTGTGTGTGTGTGTGTCCTGTATCTGAGTCTGTGTTTCCTTGTGTGTGTGTGTGTGTACGTGTGTGTGTCCCATGTCTGAGTCTGTTTCCCTGTGTGTGTGTTTGTCCCATGTTTGAGTTCCTGTGTGTGTCTGTATCTGTGTCTGAGTTCCTATGTGTGTCTGTCTCTGTGTCTGAGTTTCTGTGTGTGTCTGTCCCCTGTCTGAGTCTGCATACCCTTGTGTGTGTGTCTGTCTCGTGTCTGAGTTCCTGTGTGTGTCTGTCCCCGTGTCTGAGTCTGTGTTTGAGTGTGTTTCCTTATGTATGTGTCTGTCCCCGTGTCTGAGTTCCTGTGTGTATCTGTCTCGAATCTCCATCCTTATGTATGTGAGCTTGTGGGCGTCACTGTCTGTGAGTCCCGCCTGTATGTGCATCTCTGTCTGGGGTCTGTGAATCTGAGCTTTGTTGGTCCTCGCATCTGTCCCTATCCAGTGTAGGGCCTGGGTGGCCCTGGGCGCGGTCATCCACCTTCCCCTCGGCCTCCTCCCCAGCCTGCAAGGCCCCTCCTCCTCTGGAGTGGCAGCCTCCTCCCCCTCCCCCTCCCCAGCTCTGGCTGCGCGTTGCTTGCTGCTGCGTCTGGTCTGGCGTCTGCTGAGGAGGAGCAGCCACTGCGGTCCCATCCGGACCTTGTGCACAAGCAAGCAGCAGCCCCTGGCCCGGAGCTGTTCCTGCCCTGGTCTGTCAGCTGGCTGCAGGTCTCCAAGGCCGCCACTCCCAAGGAGGTTTCGAGGTGAGAGCCTGAGCCCCTGGAGGGTGGGAGGGATGAGCTGATGGCCAGCGAAGCTGCTTGGCTGGAGGAGCAGGAGGAAGCTGTGCTCACAGCCTATATTCTGGGTCCTGGATCTTTCTGGGTGTGTCTCAGACTCTTTCTTGCCTGCATGTACATGAGGGCAGGTTGGGGCATCTCTGTGCGTCTGTGTGTGCACACACGTGTCTCTGCATCCCTCTATCTGTGTCTGTGAGTCCCTGTGGGTGGACACGTGTCCTGGTGTGTAACTGCCTCCCTACAGCCCGTGTGTATCTGTAAACCAAATGAGATTGTGTATCTCTGTGTTTTGCATGTCCCTATCTGTGCACACATGTCCTCATGCCTCCATTTGTCTCTGCATGTGCACACGGGTGTGCCTGTGTGTCCTTATGTGAGCCTCAGTGTATGTGGTTGCCTGTGGGGGGGTGAGGTCTGCATGCCTGTGGGTTGCCTGTACTGCACCTGAGCCCAGCTGGGCCTGTGTCTGGCACTGCAGTCACTCGTCTGTGCCCTGTCCCAGGCTCTGCACCGAGTGGCGCTGCGGGGAGCAGCATGGAGCCTCTCTTCCCTGCCCCATTCTGGGAGGTTCTCTATGGCAGCCACCTTCAGGACAACCTGTCCCTCCTGAGCCCCAACCATAGCCTGTTGCCTCCCCATCTGATGCTCAACGCCAGCCATGGCGCTTTCCTGCCCCTCGGGCTCAAGGTCACCATCGTGGGACTCTACCTGGCTGTGTGCATTGGGGGACTGCTGGGGAACTGCCTCGTCATGTACGTCATCCTCAGGTAGGCTGGGCCATCAAGGTCCCTGTCTGGTGAGTCCCACACAGATGCAGAGGAGGAAACTGAGGTAGGGGCTGTTCTGGATGGACCTGAGCAGGTGGTGATTTCCTGCTTCCCCCATTAAATTCCTTTTGCTCTCTGCAGGGGGTGGGACCAATCTGAGACCCTGGATGCTCATTCCCCAGGGAAAGGGGCCTGGTCAGGGGAGAGAGGGAAAGTAGGGCCTGCCCCGCCCTACCCCATTCTGTCCCAGGGGGCATATCACCACTCTAGCCCCTGGCTAGAGCTGCGGCCAGGCTCCACCCATGCTGAATGGCCTCATGAGATCCCACATGGCCTGTCAGACAGCTCTGGTCAGTCTGTTCCTTGGATGGACCAAAGGAAACACAGGCTAGTGCTGGATGGTCCTGAGCACCTTCTCTCAGGCTCCAGAGCTCCCGGCTCATACAGACATCTGTGGCTGAGTCCATGATCTGCCAGTGCTCAGGTGGGAATCTTGTGGGGACCAAAAATTAAGTGACTGGGACTGGGTAGCTGGGATGTGGGGGTCAACTGTGGGGAATAGTGTGGGGGGAGCAGTGGGGGAGGCATGAGGGCTAGTGTCAGGGGACAGAGTGGGAGACATTGGAGGGATAGTGTGGAGGCAGCATGGGAGATGTAGGGGACATGGCATGGGGGCAGGATGGAGGGGTAGTATGAGGCAGAGTGAGGGGCAGCATAGGGTGGGCCCAGGACCCTCCACATGGAATGTGCATTGGGCAAGTAGAGGCTGTGGGTGACTCAAGCAGAAAGGAAGAGTTTCTGGGCAGAGGAAATGGTGGGGCCCAAGTCCCTCCAGATGGGTGAGTACTGAGGGTCTGGAACAGCAGTGGGGTCTTGAGTGTCAGGTCAAGGGACTTTGTTCTTTAGGCAATAGGAAGCCACTTTAGCAGAAAATGGCACAGCCAGAATAAGGTTTCTTATTGATCCAGGATGTGTCCCAGAAAAAGGTGATTCTGAAGAAAGTGCTCAGGCCCTCAAGCAAGTGGTCCTTCCTTATAACCTCAAAGGCCCCAGTCGAGACATTGGGGTAGGAGGGTATCGATGGAGGAAGGATAGGGTGATGGGGCTGTCCAAGTCCTGTCTCCCCAGCCCTGTTTTCTGAGTAACCCTGAGAAAATTTGCTTCCCTCTGAAAAGTGAGGAAGGTGGACCCTATGCATGTGCTTGTGTACATGTGTGATGCCTGATCAGACAAGATGGTGGGAAGAGCAGCCACCCTTCTGCAGTGTTGACCCCCCAGGGGAGGGTCCAGGGAGACAGTTTCATGTCCACATGCCCTTTCAAACCTCAGAGATGCAACTACTCAGGCAGTCCTTGTGCCTTGGCACCCTGTCTGTTATTAGTGCCCTTTTCTTTTCTCTTCACTGGATCTTTAAAAACACTCAGAGCTGCTTCCCGGGCTCAAGCAGACATGGAAGGCCTTCTTGCCCCCACAGTCCCCAGAGAGTGATGCTCAGGAAATGCTGGACCACACTGGCCTGAGATGTGGCACACAGTCAGTGGGTTGGGGTGACTAGCTAGGAATCAGAAACACCTGGTCCTGAGCCCTGCTCTGCTTTTTACCAGTTTGAAGACCTTAAAAGAGCAACTTAGATCCTCTGAGCCTCCGTTTCATCTTTTATAGAGTGGAAATCAAAATAGCATTTTTGTAAATCTTAAATGAGATAAAATTTATGTGAAGATCTTGGGACAGGCATCTGCCCTAATCATTGTCATTGTTGTTACTTGGCCATAATTGAAGCCTCTTTGTGTTTATTCATCATAATCCCTCTCCAAGAGGTAGAACTAAACCCCAGATTTCCTCATGGCAGCTAAACAAACATGGAATATTGCCATCTCTGGTGCTGCCACCACCACACCATCACCACAACCATCACCATCATTAGTGTCCTCATCACCACTATCACTACCACCATCACCACCACCACCACCACCATCACATCACCATCACCATCATTACTGTCCTTGTCACCACCATCACCATCACCATTATCATCACTGTCACCACCACCATCATTGTCATCACTATCATCATCACCATTGTCACCATCACCACCATCACCACCATCATCATCATCATCACCATACTCACGACCATCGGCACCACCATCACCCATACCACCATCACATCATCATCACCATCATTACTGTCCTTGTTACCATCATCATCACCATTGCCACCATCACCACTATCATCATCACTACCACCATCACCACCATCACCATCATCATCAACATCACCACCACCACCATCATCACCACCATCCCCATCACTATTATCACCATGTTCATTACCATTGTCACCACAGTCGTCATCACTGCTATTATTTATCACTATAACTACCATCAACCACCAATACCATCACGATCCTCATCACCATAATCACCACTGTCATCATCATCACAATCATCACCATCATTATCTTCACCACTGCTATCATAATCACCATCATCACCATCACTACCACTATCATCATCATCACCATGCTCACTACCATCGGCACCACCATCACCACCACCACCATCATCACCATCACCAGAACCACCATCATTACCAACATCACCACCATCGTGATACTCCTTCTACTATTACAACCATTAAATTATTTAACAAAAATTTACTCATCATCTACAATTTTTCCGGCCCTGTTCCAGGTGCTAGGATGCAATCAGACTCCATTGCTGTCTCTCCTGTCCCTGTCAACATTTTTTGTCTCCATTGCTATACAATAGTGTAGACAAAGGCCTTTGATGTGCTCTTACAATGCTGGAGCCCTTAGAAACCTCTGGCAACTGGAGAGCCAGCATTTGAGTCCATGAAGGGTTTTGGGGGGAGATTCAAAAGGGAGGAGGACAAGTTCTTTCACTTGTGATTCTCTCCCTTTTCTCCCATACAGAGTCCAGTGTGTGCTGTGGTACCACACATGCCCCAACTTTTCCAAAGCAGACCAATCTTTAAGGTCTGGCACCCTTTTGTTTGTGTCAGAATCACTTGAGGAACTTGGAACATGTTTGACTCCAGGCTCCATCCCCTGAATTGACTCAGTGAGTCTCAGGTTGGGTCTAGAAACCTGCCACTTGAAAAGCTCCCTTGGAGACTCTGATATTGAAAGACTCAGAGCTGGTGCCCCCTATGGTGGCCAACAAGACGAGCCCCTTGCCCTTGGTCTAGCCAGGGGTGGCCAAATGAAGCCTTTCTTCTCCCTGTCCTCTACAGGCACACTAAAATGAAGACAGCTACCAACATTTACATCTTTAACCTGGCACTGGCAGACACCCTGGTCCTGCTGACACTGCCCTTCCAGGGCACAGACATCCTCCTGGGCTTCTGGCCATTTGGAAATGCTCTGTGCAAGACGGTCATTGCCATTGACTATTACAACATGTTCACCAGCACCTTCACATTGACTGCCATGAGTGTGGACCGCTATGTAGCCATCTGCCACCCCATCCGTGCTCTTGACGTCCGAACTTCCAGCAAAGCCCAGGCTGTCAATGTGGCCATCTGGGCCCTGGCGTCTGTGGTTGGCGTTCCTGTTGCCATCATGGGTTCAGCACAGGTCGAAGATGAAGGTCAGTGGGGTGTTCTCTCCTCCCTTCACGGGCTCCCTGTGGCTCCTGGGGGCTCCCCTGTGTCTACCTGCCCTCTGCATCTTGGGCCCACTCTGACCCATTGCTCTTCCTGCAGAGATCGAGTGCCTGGTAGAGATCCCTGCCCCACAGGACTACTGGGGGCCTGTGTTTGCCATCTGCATCTTCCTCTTCTCCTTCATCATCCCCGTGCTCATCATCTCCATCTGCTACAGCCTCATGGTGCGGCGGCTCCGTGGAGTCCGCCTGCTCTCGGGCTCCCGAGAGAAGGACCGGAATCTGCGGCGCATCACTCGGCTGGTGCTGGTGGTGGTGGCTGTGTTCGTGGGCTGCTGGGCGCCAGTGCAGGTCTTTGTGCTGGTCCAAGGGCTAGGTGTGCAGCCCGGCAGTGAGACTGCTGTGGCTATGCTGCGCTTCTGCACAGCCCTGGGCTACGTCAACAGCTGCCTCAACCCCATCCTCTATGCCTTCCTGGACGAAAACTTCAAGGCCTGCTTTCGCAAGTTCTGCTGTGCATCTGCCCTGCGCCGGGAAGTGCAGGTGTCTGACCGTGTGCGCAGCATCGCCAAGGACGTGGCCCTGGTCTGCAAGACCTCCGAGACAGTCCCGCGGCCCGCATGACTAGGCGTGGACCTGCCCATGGTGCCTGTCAGCCCGCAGAGCCCGTCGACGCCCAACACAGAGCTCACACAGGTTACTGCTCTCTAGCGGACACACCTGAGGCTTGAGCATCCAGAGCCTTGGATGGGCTTTCCTTCGGTCCCAGAGAAGGACCTTGGGACATCATGGGACAGGTCCAAGCATTAGGGCTGCCTCTTCAGCCCGGTTAGACTAACGCTGCCCTCCAGGTGCAGGGCCTGGAGAACGCAAGGACTCTACCTGGAAGCACCCTCTGTGCCCTCCGCTCCAGTAGTCTCCACCAATTGGAGCAGGGTACTTGCTCCCACACTCCATGTGACTCTTTGCTGGCATCTCCCTCTGCCAAGTTGTCGGAACCCCAGGTGGGCTCACACCCAGAGGAGTAGCAGCAGCTGTGTAGTCGTGTACACCCACGTGCTGTGTGCTGTTTGTTTTGCACAGCAGGGCTCCGACGGTGTCCAGTGGTGTCCCTTCAGGGCAGCTGTACACACCTGGTGCTGCCCAGGGAGCACAGTGGGTAGCATTTCCTTGGGTTGGGATGTGCCCTGAGCTTAGAGCTGCTAACTGGAGGACCTGCCAGTCCTGACTCCACTTGCGCAGCCAACGTTTCCCTAGGAGGGAGTATCCAAGTCACTATCAGTCCCCCGCCCTGAGTTCACAGGTCCTGAGTGGGTCTGAGCCAACTACTTCTCTGGTTTTCAGCCGACGCCATCATGCAGTGTGTGTGGACCTGCCACGTCCCAGCACTGCTGCATGACTGCTTGTCCCTGCCTGAAACTCGGCTGGGGGCCAACTCCCACTTCCCTTCAGGAGATCAGTGGGAGGCCCTGGGCCACTCCCTCCAGAAGTGTGAGGAACTGTTGTGCTGTGGATGTATTCTGAGTGCTGTTGCTCAAGTACAAGAAGAGTGGCTTGGGAGAGAGATGCCATGGGACCACCATGGGCTGTTCCATTGTCCACCAAGCAGAGGCCCCATGCTCCTGGCCTTGGCTGTTCTGTTTGGGGCAGGGTGGGGGAATGTTCTCTGTCTGGGGGGTCCCCATGCCTTCTCAGGGCTCCCTCACAGTCTCGTCTCTACCTGATGTCAGAAGTCAGTGGCTGTGCTGGGTTGTGGCAGAAGGCTGTGGGAAGGAGAGAGGGGGCCCTGGAAGGGTGGCTGTTGGACAAGTTCTGCTTTGCAGCCACTGGAGACCGCCTGCCTCACTGGTCAGCCCAGCCTTTCTCTGAGTAAGGCCAGAGCTCGCTGTCCACTCAGAAGCCGGCTGTGTTGCAGAACTAGCACAGAGCAGGGCTCAGCAGGGCTTGCTTGAGTCAAGCTTCAAGGACTGTCACTGCTTCAGAGACATGGGGTCTTTGTGCCTCAGATGCCCCACAATGGTACCCCAAGATCACCCTCCCTGGTCTACACATGGAAGCTGCGGGTTGTTGACTTTGCCAATGCGCTTCCTGCAGAAGAACTGCTGAAATACCCTGCAACATTGAAAAGACTCTTTCCAGCAAGACTTTGGCCAGGTGACCAAGGACACCTGAAAAGAACAGAAAGTGCAGGCTCTGCCTTGGCCATGGAGCCTGGGCTGGTGCCTCCTGTTTCGGGGAGTCCTGGCTGGTAGGGTTGCTTCTGGAGAGGCCAGGGCTCCCTCAGGGACAGGAGGCTCTGAGGATGGGAGTTGCCTGGTTGTAGCGTTTTCTTGCCAGGGCTAAAAAATGTGTGAATTTGTGCTGATGTAACATGCATCTTCATGTGTTTGTGCATGCAACAAGTACCATTCCCTGTGCATGTAGCTAACCCTAAGCCCACCTCTGGGTTGAGGAAGGAGGGCCATCACAAAACCCTTTCCTGACTCTGGCGCTCTCCTTGTAACAGGCATTTCTGACTCCTGCCACCTTGGACTGGCTGTTGACGTACCTTTTCTGCGATTGGCACATGGGCGGGAGGGGGTTGTAGGATCTCATTTATAAGACTTCCCACCTGCCCTGTGCTGCCCAGCAGGCCAGGCTCTGTCCTTAGTGGAAGGTCCCTCAAGAAGCGTCAGTATTGCAGAAGGTGACCTAGCGTATAATGGGCTGGCAAGGGCTATTACTTTTCTTCCACACAAATAGTTTTCCCTAAACAACCAGCTGTTGCCCCTCTCTTTTGTTATTTGGAAAGAGGCTCCCTGTGGATGCAGTGGATGGGTGTTCCTGCCATCTGGATCATCTCAGCAGAAGCCCTCTGCCTTCTTGTTTCTCCTTCCTTGAGCAGATCTGAGGGGAGTTTTGGTGAAAGATGAACAGAACAATCTCCTCTGGGGACTGGACCCACTATGTGATGGGGTCAGTCTCCTGGTTCCTGTGTGGGTCCAACCCAGGCTGACTCCTGTCAGAGGGCTTCAGAGGGAGTGGCATGGTGACACTCCACCAAAAGTGCTTGTCTTCAGGGCATGGGAAGATGGGCTAGTGTCTGGCTTTGTACAAGTTTTTTTTGAGTCGGAGTCTCACTGTCACCCAGGCTGGAGTGCTACGGTATGCTCACGGCCACCGCAGCCTCGACCTACTGGGCTCAGGTGATCCTTCCACTTCAGCCTTCCAAGTAGTTGGAACCACAGGCATGTACCACCATGCCCTACTAATTTTTTTGATTTTTTTATTGTAGAGACAAGGTCTCACTGTGTTGCTCAGGCTGGTCTTAAACCCCTGAGCTCAAGCAGTCCTCTCGCCTCCACCTCCCAGAGTGCTGGGATTACAGGTTTGAGCCACCAAGCCCGGCCCTTTATACAAGTTTTAATGATGCTGTAACAACCTGCCACAGACCCGATGGTTTATAAACAGCAGACACTTATTTCTACAGCTCTGGAGGCTGGAAGTCCGAGACAAGGTGCAGGCATGACTGGGTTCTGGGGCAGGTCTGCTCCCGGGTTTCAGAAGACTAATTTCTTGCTGTGTCCTCACATGGGCCCAAGAGCTCCAGAATGTCCCTTTCTTGAAGGCACTAATCTCTTTGCAAATGCCCTTCCTGCGGACAAACTATTGAAATACTTGTGAAATTAAAAGGAAAGAAAAAAAGGAAAAAAAAAGAGAAATACTTTCAACATTGAAGAGTCTGTTTTTTTCAATGAAGACTCCACCCTCGTGACCTCATCACCTCCCAAAGTCCTCCACCTCCTAATACCATCACCTTGAGGGGGATAGGATTTCAACACACGAATTTTGGGGGAACATATAGTCCACAACAGACACGTTGCTGTTAAAACAAAAATTTAATATCAAGTGAGAACTTGAGAGGAGTAAGCCACACCATGTCAGTTTCAGGAGCTGGTATGGACCTGGGGAAGGATGGCTGTGTGCACTACTGGGCTGCAGACTGTCCTGTCTTGTGGGGTGTGGGTCCAGGGTCAACATCCACTGCTGGTATCTTCCAGAAGGAGCCAGGCAGGAACAAGGGGCCACAGGAGGCAGCGGGAGGCACTGGAGGCTGCCTGCTCCCCAGCTCTCCACCTTGCCCTGCTCCACTGGCCCCTGCCTGTACCAGGACTCCCATCATTTGCCCCCTATTGCTGGACTTGGTCAAGTCATCTGGCTTCTCTGAGCCTTAGTTTCCTCCTTTGTGCAAAAGGAACCTCAGAGCCTTCCTTGTGGGGTTGGGGACTAGGGGAGGGTCTGGGGTCCTGTCAGATCTCTGGAAAGCTTGGGTTCACCAGCTGCCATGGATGCTGCCCACCAGGGGGTGTTGTGGCCCCCATTATGGGCTCAGCCTAGGGTCCTAGGTGGACTCTGGTGGGGATGGTAGTGAGATTTGGGGTCTGGAACTCTGTGACCAGGTTCTCCCTGAGACCAGGAGCCCAGAGCATGGGTACCTGGCAGAATTCCTCAGTGTAGACCCCTGTCCCATGCCCCAAGCCATGTCGGGAGGTCCATGGTGGGGGGAGGATGTCCTGGCGAGGTGTGCCTGTCCTCCCCGCTGGCTGGCAGGTGACCCCAGTCCTCAGGCCTCGTTGGTCCCTGGCTGGGTGGGGTGGTCCATAAGCCACTTGGCTATGCCTCATCAGGATCCCATTGCTGGGCTGTGGTTGGGGACAGGAGCCACCAGAGGGCATAAAGTGGGCTCTTCAGAGGAAATGTGGTTGGCACCTTCTCTGCTGTGGAGATGTCCTGTTGCAGCCAGAGGGCAAGCTAGGGGCAGGGTGGGAGGTCCTGGTCCTGGCAGAAGGGCTGCTTGTGTCCGCTTCTGCACCTGCCTTCTCTTCACCCGCACCACCTGCCCCCTCCCGCATGTTCTCGCATCTCCACACACATCACACCTGGCTCTTCATGGTCTTGGATGGCGTGTTCTGGAAGCGCAGAGAGCCTCACTTGTCTCCTCAAGGAGCTCCAAGACACAGGAACAGTGTTCATGCAGCGGTAATTAGGCCGCTGTTGTGCGAGGTGTGATTGTGCACAGCGAGGAGTTGGGAGAGCGTTCTTCCTGCAGAGTCGAGCTGTGGGCGGTGGCTTAAAACTGAGCCCTGAGTGTGGGCTGGACTTGGTGATTTGCTTCAGATATGCAGGATGTGGTGGAAGGGACAGGGAGCAGCTTCTGACACTTCTCAAGGCGTCTTGTATCCCTCTTGGGGTGTGGGCTCTGGGTCCCTCAGTGCCATGTCATGAGGACATGCAAGCACCCCATGGGGAGTGATGTGTCAAGGAAGGAGGCCCCCTGCCAACAGTCATGGAAGAGGGCCTTTTCTGAGGGGTCCTTCCAGCCCCTGTCCAGTCTCCAGGTGAATGGAGCCTCAGCCACCGTCCTGATTGCAACCCTATGAGACACCTGGAGCCAGAACCACCCAAATAAGCCACTTCAAACTTCCTGACCCACTGAAGCTGTGGCACAATAAATGTTTTAAGCTGCTAGGTTTTGGGGAAGCTTTTTATACAGCAATAGATAACTAACTCAGTGTTGCCAGGGAAGACACCATAGAGGTGACACTGGAGTGTTTGGGCTGACCAGCGTGGGCAGGGGGTGGGGGAAGTTGTGACACAGGCCTGAGCTGCTCTGGGCTCAGATGGGCCTGTGTGGCCTGGAGATCTGGAGTCTTTGGTGGGTGGGAGGCAGGCATATACCCTGGGCACCCTGTGGGATGGTGGATGGTGGGCCCATGTGCCAGCTGGATAGACTGACTGGAGTTCTGGATTATGAAGACTGCGCCCAACTTGGAAAACTCACACTATGTAGCCAGGCTGGAGTGCTGAGAGCCATGTGCCCAAGAGCAGAGTGGTCTTCTGGGACCTGCCCTCGGCCCCTCCCACCTGGCAGTCCTTGGTCTCTGAGCGGCCTGCACTTGAAAGCCCCCTTCCCCCACAGAGTTTCAGCAGTGGCTCCTACTTGCCCAGGCCAGGACCCACTTCACACTGGGAGAAAGGACTCCTTATGTCAGCCTGTTCAGTGACAGATAACGTCGAGGCTATGGTGGCCCAGAGGTCCTGGCAGAAGGCCTCTGTGTCCTGTTGCAGAATATGAGGGGCCACAGGTCAAGCACAAGGGTACAAAGGGGCAAAGGTTATGGCATGGAGACAGGGGAAGGGAGGCTTGATGAGATGTCACTTGGGTTCCAGGTGTGGGAGTTGCATTTGATTCATACATCCCTGGCCTTTGCAGCAACATGTCCACACATGTGTCACCTGCCAACCCGTCTCCAGAGGGGCCCAAGGGGTCCTGACTGTGCATCACAGTACTGGCTCCAGGACAAGGTCACAGTTCAGATTCTTTCCCCTCCAGACCACAGTCGTTAGGGCTCTCAGGTCCCTGGAGAGGACCCGGAAGGAAACGTCCAGGGGGCTTGTCCATCTGTCTGTCTCTGGTGAGTGGACTTAAGATGCCTGTTATGTTGAGAACTTTTGCTGGGACCTGGATCCCTGCTTTGTTCACCCAGGGCAGTCCAGGAGCAGTAGTGTAGAAAGAGACACACCCCTGGTTGTCTCTGCAGGTCTTCTGGCCCACCTTCAAGGGTCTTTGTCTTTCTGCATGGAGAAGACAGGTTGGGATGTTGTCTGAGCTGGACGTGAGGGCTAGGCAAGGGGGTGGGTGTGGGGGCAGGGGTGAATGAATGGGTGGAGAGGATAGGGTGAGGG